AACAAAAATAAAAAATCCTATTCTATCCGTAAAATGTCACCCCACATTCTGAAATCAAACACTGTGGATTTTGCTGAACTGTCTAGTATGAAAAGCTTATTTGATCAAGAAGATATGCGTACATCCAAATTTAAAAGACGAAATAGATTTTTTAAAGCTATTACTTTCCAAAATTCTCAACAAAAACATAAAAAAAAACAAATGTATACTTCTTCAGTAGAATCTGCTAGTTCATCATCAGATCATGATAGACATTATAATACTTGTAATTCAGCTTTAGCATTTTTAGCACAAGCTACTTTGGATTTTAATTCGTCATTTGACTTACCATCAGAGTCTGAAGAAACACAACCTTACAGTTCACGTAGTCCATTAACCAGACAACCTAGTGTTGATACAAATCGTTCTAAATTATCTCTAGAATATTTGTTTCATCCTAATGATCAGGATGAAAAAACTGTACCTGATTTAATTTTACCTTCCTCTAGTTCATTAAATTCAATTTCTGATTCAACAGCTGAGTCAGAAATGGCTATTGGGTTTGAAGTCTCAAAACTTAATGTACGAGAGTCTTCTCCTTGTATATCTGATAACCCTACCTATTWCTCAGACTCTTCAGACTCCATTGATTCAGATTCAGTTGATATTGTGAGCACAAATTCAGAATCTTTATTTCAAAAGTCAAACACTCCTCCATTGTCAAGAATAGTATGTACTGACAGACCTAATACTCCTCCAATTTCTAAAATTGTTTATCTAAGCAACACTAAACCGAGTTTTCTTAGTAGCCGTTTAACAGATATATGTAAATCCAGAAGTGTGTCACCTTATAACTCAAGTAGTTTTAGTAATTCACAGAGTACAATTTTACACAACACGCCGCCTTTACCAATGGTTTCTAATTCTGATGTAGAATGTATAATTAACAATGAGCCCAGTTTAATAAAACTCGAAGAAAATGTTTTTCCTGTTTTCTCTGATAATATAACTGCATCCGAGTGTTCTTCGCATGCTTTTAACTGTGATGACAGGAACGTTGAAACAGCCGAGTCACCTAGCAAAGTCACACACCTTCCAATGCATCGAAGGTCATCAGACTCAGAAATCAATAATACACCAAAAGGTAATATATATCTAGGTTCATTGTTTTGGCTAACCAATATACATATAGTATGTGTGTTTATGTATATTGTATAAATGTTTTATTTGTATTAATTGTATTGTATGATAATTATTACCTCCTTAAAAAAACTCATGATATTTGATTTGTTTTATGCTAGATTATTTATTTGTATGATTTATATTTTATCTATAGAAAAAAATATTTTCTAATTATATATTTTTTTATTTGTTACAAAATGTTATAATTTTTTCAAAAACACATTTTTATTTATTCATTATAAAACTATTTAATTTGCCCTAAGATAAAGATGAATAAGATAATTATTCATTATATGATCACAAATCACAATTATTTATATTTTATACTTTTTAACTTGTTACAATTTTATCTTACAAAGTCTTATTATTTTGTTGTGTAAATGCAATAGGCACTTACTAATTATAAAAATAAAAATATAATAAATATATAAAATAATTTTTTTCAGTCAAGAGAACATATTTTATATTCAGGTAAGAATAATAATAGTTGTGTTTTCTTCATTATGCACTATTTATCGGTGGCATTAGGGATTTTTTCCCCTTCAAAATGTTCAACATTGTGATCTCTTAACTTTTTTCCTATAAATTATATAACTAGTTGCTGACCTTCTAAATACATTTTGGTTAAATATTTTTTACAGTATTACGTACATTTTTTTAAATTTAAGATTAATATTGGATTTGTAAAAGGAATTAATAAAAGTAAACTAGTATACTTTATCCTAATTTACATTCTATAAATTCTACTGTATTGCTCTATATCAGGGATAGTAAACTTATGGCATGTGTGCCAAAGATTGCACATTTGTCAAATTTTAATGGCATTAAAAATGTATGATGTTTGTAAAATGTTGCTTGTAAAAAATTCAAAGAAACAAATTATATCCATTTTAAAAATTATAATATTCTTATGTAAAATTGATTATGTTCTATTAAGTGTTAAAAACTTTGGGAATTTGATAATTTTGCAAGCTCTCGATTGCAAAAATTTGGCACTTAACTCAAAAAAAATTCACCACAGACTTTTTGATTTTTCTTACTTAGACATTCACAATTCACTAAAGTTCAGTTTTAAACTAATAAATATGCACATCTAAATTTTAAAAATTCATTAGTACCTAAAATTTTTTATTATATGTTATTATCTTTTTTAGTATTTTGTATGTGTATTTTTAAATTATTAATTATTAATGTTATATAAATATCAAGGGACTTTCCTGTATATTATAATATATAAATAAATATGGTAGTTAGGATTTTATTTAATGTATGGTGGCGGAGGATGAATAAATTGTATTATACACTTCACATTTTTATTTAAAAAACATGTCCATACATAAAACCATAAATAAAAATATATGGAAAAATCTGTAGTAGGTATCAATATCAATCTTAATTAAAAATATGTTATAGTATGATCTTATATTATAATTTTATTTACAAAATATGATTGAAAAAATTAATTTCAAATGCATTTTTATGTATATCAAAATTTAAAGTATTTATATTATAATCKCATATTTAACTAATACAGTGTAACATAACCTGAATTTTTTTAACTTTCTTAGTTTCATGGGTTTAAACAATTTAGTAAATAATTGTATGCATGAATGACAAATAATTATTGTTGTTAAAAGATGTTAAGCACATACAATAAAATGATTTATGATATAATATAATATATATCTATTCACTATTGTGTATAACTTATATTAACGTTGAATTAATATGTTTTAAGGTAATAGTTTGGCGGGAAGTGGAAGTTCAACAGTTAGTTCACATCGATCACACGGACATACAATGTTTCATCGCTCAATTTTAAGCAAAGATACTTTGGATGCAATGGAATATCCATTTCTCACAATGACCAAATATCCTCCTGGTTTTGTTGTTCATTTAGGTTAATGAATAATATTAAATTAAATAACTACATAATCATTCTGTATAACTATAAACTAATTTGACAAAAAAAAAAAATATATTTAGGTGGTATGGTAAATGCCAAATCAGTTAAACTACTTGAACGCATGTCCAACATGGAAGAACCAGAAAGTAGAGACTCTTGGTGGAGTGAATTAAGACTTGAAATGAGATCCCATGCAAGAGCATTATCTTGTAATGTAATTTTGGGTTATTCTGAACATACTTCAATATGGTATATACTATATATATACACATTTAGTAGCTTATAATTTTTCATTCTGCTTCTGACTTATTATTTTTTTTATTAATTAAATTTAATGTTCAAGTAAAAATGTACTGTTATTGTGACAGATGGTGTGAAAAAAAATTTAGTATAAAGAAAGTATATTTAATATAGCATTAAGTGTAATGTTTAGTTAAGGTTAAAAATCCTAGTAACAATATTATATAGGTATTTATTAGGAACTTTAAGTACTTAGTGTCTGTTAGTGGTTCTATTTTTTTTTGTTTTTTATGAAAACTTAGAACAAGGAATCTTAAAAATAGTTCATGATTTCATATTTGAACTATAAAATCTTAAAAAGACAATCACTAATTAAATACAGTTATTTTTATGAACATTTTTAGTTCAATTTGGATAAATTTTCATATTTAAACCAAGAATAATTATTTTAGCTATTTTTTTGATTATTTAAAAATATTATTTGTGGATACTTGAGACTTTTGGAGTACATTACTGTGTACAGTATACACACAATAACATTTTCAAATCCAATTTTTTATTAAAAATTAATTTAACCTACTACTACTAATGTTAAAAAAATAAGTAAAATAAATTTCTTTAACCACAATAATATCATAAGATTTATTCAATAATGTTATAGGCTGATAAATCTTCTTAAATCAGAATATTATTTTGGACACAATGATTATTGAATTGAAATTTAAGACATTCTCTAGATACTTAATGTATAACAGAGTTTTACCAATATATCTGCTTTTWAAGCTTAATTTCTATATATCCTAATATAGAAAGAATCAAAATGTATTTCATTTTATTTAAAGACATTATTACTATTATGTTTGTACAGTGATGATGTGTGTGTATTGAGTGCAATGGGAACTGCAGCAGTTGTAAACCTTATGCCATCAGTAAATCCAGGTGGATATTTTTCTGGAATTTATCCCAATACTCCTCTTGCAGACATACCAGAACCTTCAAGTACATATGTGAGTTAATAATTTACTTCTAAAACATAATTACTAATTATTGTTGTAAAAATAATGAAAAATTAAACATACATATTTAAAACATTGTTTGAAGACACCTATTTTAATTATTTTTTATAAGTTACTCTTGAAATTTTTTTTTGTTTCTAGGTTATAAATATTTTTGAGGTTTTATATTTTTCTAGTCACTTTCTAGTAATTTATAACTTAAGATTTTCAAATTTGATTCATATTGTATAAAACAAATATTAGAAACTTAAATATTTTTTTATTTTTTATTTATTTTTTCTGTAAGGAGAACCC